GCGGGCCGCTGCCACCGCGGTACGCATCCTCGCCGAGCTCGTGCGCTTGCGCCTTCTTAAAGTACGGCAAACAGTCCTCGTACGACCACCCTGTCGCACCGCTGCGCGCCCAGTCGTCGTAGTCGTGGGCGTGGCCGCGAATGTACACCATGGCGTTGAGCGACGACGAGCCGCCGAGAACGCGGCCGCGGGGCCACGCGAGCCGGCGGTTGTTGACGTGCTCTTGCGGCTCCGTCATGTACGCCCAGTTGTAGCGTGCGTCTGCAAGATTGAACGTCAACGCCGCCGGCATCTTCATCTTCCACGAGTCCCAATGGCCCTTGTCACTCTTGCCAGCCTCGAGCAGCAGCACCGAGTGGTCCTTGGAGAGGCGGTTCGCAAGGACGCTGCCCGCCGAGCCGCCGCCGACGATGATGTACTCGGCGTGCGACGGCGCCGCCTTGGCTCGCCCCAGCCACCGTGACAACATGCGGCGAAATATCGAATGCTTTCCGATTGGATGGGCCGTTTATCCGGATGACCAAGATACCGCCCAACTTCAACTTGCCGGTTCGAAGGCGCATCCGCTGGCTTCGCCCGTCGTCGTTGTTGGGTTGCGGTGACGCACCAGCAGAGGAGCTGCCTGCCCACACATGCCCAAGCGGGCTCATGGACAGGCCGCGCATATTGCCCCATGTGGGCGCAGAGCATCGTCTTCTATAGGTCCAAGGGCTAGACCTCGTCGAGTGGGAAGACGTAGTCGACGCAGTCGCCCTCGTCGAACGCGCAAGCCGGTGTGAAGCACGGCAGGTTGCACTGACCGTTGCCGATCTGATATGGATGGCAGCCCACGTTGCACGCGCGGCCGCAAAGGTCCTCGGCGCCCATCGCAACAATGTCGCGTTCAATCGGTGAGAGGGCCCACGCCGCGTGGCGCGCGGCGTCGTACGTCAACAGTCGGTTGCAAAAGGGTGTATCGCGGAGGTCCAAGCGCGCGGACAAGAAGAGCTCGAGTGACAAGTTGGCCGGCACGTGCTGGATCGGGTTGCCGCCCAAGTAGACATGGCGGAGCGTCGGTGGCAGTGCCGTGAACGGCAGCTCCGAGATCGAATTATTGATCAGACTGAGTATCGTGAGCTGCGGGAGCGAGAACAATGCAAGCGGCAGCTCCCGCAGTGCATTGTTGTCCAGCACGACTTCGGTCAAAGTCGGCGCCAACGCCTCCAACGGCGCGTCCGTGAGGTTGAGGCCGACGAGGAAGAGCTGGCTGAGCTGCGGCCAGTGCCCCACCGACTTGTTTTGACCAAAGCCTAAGTTGCGCAGGAACAGATACTGTAAATTCGGCCACGCATCTGCAATCGCGGTGGGTAGCGACGGCATGGCCATGTTGTAGAGGTAGACGGCAAAGAGTGATGAAGGCATCGCGTCCCGTGGCACGTCCCACGAGACCGTCGCGGTCGCATCGAGCGCGAGGGCATAGACATTTTCCAAGCTCCGCATCGTGGTGGCGGAAAGGCCGTGGGGCAAATGGCACTGCAGAATGCTCAAATCAAATACGTGCGTGAGGTTTGCTGCGACGAATGCATCGACGTCGCCCACGTCGTGCTGCTTGCAGTTGAGCGTAAACATAATGCACGTGCACTCGAGTGCGAACCACGGATACGTCTGCAGCTTGCACCCGCTGGGGCAGGGCGCGCGGTAGAGGCTCGTGCTGGCAACGCCAATGAGAACGGCGCTCGCCGAGAGCGCGACGAGCCAAAACACCTTGTTGCTGCGCTGGACGAGCCAGGTTTGCGTCTCGATCCGCGCAGAGATTTCGAGGCCGTGCTCGAGGCTCTTGCGATGCTGTACATAGTGTCTACACCGTATGTAGGCGGTTACCGTCTCGACGAAGAATAGACAATATGTCCGATGTATGTACCCTTTTGAAACGCGAATGCCGTGGTTCAGCGCGACGAGGGAAAAGTAACTCGTCACAAAAAAGAAGCTCGACGCAAAGACATCCAAGAGCGACGTCATGGCGACGAAGCGCCCGAGCAGGATGCTGCGGTTGAGCCAGATATGGTTTTGTGCCATGTCCTTGTTGCCGGCCAAGTAGTAGTCGTGGAGCGCGGGATAGATGAGGCAGAGCGGAATGCCCGTGCTCAATGTGAAATCGATCATGGCCTCAAATACCGCCGGTGTCCAGCGCCGCGCGTGTGCTGATGGGAGACGCAGTAACGCGGGGAGGATGCTGCAGCGAAGCCCCAGCACGAACGTGCAAGCAAAGGCTAACGTCGGAGTCGTCAGAAGACGTGACATTTGGTACGCGCGGTAGATCTGCATTGGCAGCTGCAGCACGAGCTTGCACGCAAGGCGCACGCTGTAGAGCGGTCCGTAGAGCCCAAACGGCCCGTAGCGACCAAAGGCGAGGCGGTACCACCGGTGGTGCCAAATACAGCAGCCGCTGCGTTCGTGTCGGCGTTCGTCTCGGTGTTCGTGTGGCACAAGCACGAGCCCGATCCCGTGCAGGTGCAGGAGCCCGAGTGCCATGGACACGCCGAACGAGAGCTGTCGGCTGTAGATGTTGAAGATACGCATCTCACTGGGCGGAAGCATCCAGTAGACGATGAGCATCGCCATCAAGTAAAAGACCGAGAGCGCGTGGAGCAACGCGACACAGAGCAGCACGGACGCGCGCTGGAAGGAGCTAAAGAGGTACTCTGGCGGGTCGTACCGCCACACCACATCGGCGGCTCGCGGACCCAGCGACGGCACCACCGCTACCATGCGTTGAGAGTGCACACCAAAAATGTCAAAAATAGACAGGCAGCATTCGTTTCAACCATCTAGTTTGATAGTCGTTGAACGAGTGGTTCCTACCAGCGGTACCGTACGTAAAAGAGGAGTTTCTGCCACTTGTTGTTGAAGTGATTCTATTTCGATATACTTTACACTGGAATGGTCCAGCGAGGACAAGGTGGATAGCGGGTACCACCAAGAGGCTGCCTTCTTGACTTATCTGTGTATGGACGAGCATGCGGTCACGAAATCGATGCGATGAAAAACGTGGTCCCACCTGAAAGCACGGGTACAACAGACAGGGTATGCGAATGTAGCGGTTGCAACCTGCAACCAGCGTGCAAGTTGCAACCACTGTCTTATTCTTGTACATTCGCATACACTGTTTGCAATTACGGTTTGCGTACTCTGTTTTGTCCGTACTTTTCAGCTGCAACTGGCAACGGACAATTTCTCGTGGGCTCCGACGGACGACGCCTGCGATACATTGGCGGGCTTTGTCGGCATGGATTCGCACCAAGTCGCAAAAATAAAACGCTACGTGTTGATAGAGACAGAGGGGAGCAGGCAACAATTACATCGTGTTCATCTTGAGGTCGAGCTTGAAGAACGCGATGAGAAGCGCAAGGAACGTGAGAATACCGCCGACAAGCACCGGAAGGGCATAGCCCATGTCCGATTTCACAAGGAGACTCGAGAAGGCAAAGTTGAGGAACTGGCCGAGGCAGTTGGCCGAGTTGAACGCGCCAGCAAACAACCCGAGGTTGTTCTCGGCTTCGTGCCCCACAATGTGCATGATCGTCGGGATCTGCAGCGTGTTGATCGTGTTCTGCGTAATGCCGCAGAGAATGACAATGATGATGTCGACCGGAATGTTCTTGCAAAAGGCCATGAGGATCAAGAGCACTTGCGGCAACGTGCCGTACGTGATGACGTTCTTGGCGCCAAACTTGCGCACGAGGTACGGTAAGACCGCGAGCCAGAGAAGGCTGCCGCAGTTGTAGACGGTATCGGTCGTCCCACTCGCGATCTGGACGCCGTCGTTAAAGTCGATCTGGCGCTGGTTGCACTCGTCGCCGCACTTGTCCGCGCCGGTCGAGATACCATTCTTGACGACGAGACCAAAGAACTGGCCTTTCGCGCCGTTGTACGCCGTGTAGCCGTACTGCATGAGCACAAAGCAGATCGCGTAGACTGCGAGCGTGTACGGAAGCAGGCGGATACCGGTCCAGACCGCCACGAACGCCGCCTTGATCTCGGCGCCCTTCTGGCGCGCCACTACCGGCACGTACGGCGTCTCCTTGACAAAGATAACGACCGCCATCGTCGTCACGAGCATGATCACGATGAGCATCGTCATGAAAGACTTGATCGTCTTGTGGGCGGCGCCAAAAAAGAGAATGTAGCCAGAGACGGCAAACGAGCCCGCGATCGAGTAGGCGCCGCCGATCGAGGCGGCCGTGACCTGGCGATCACCGGCAAAGTCGGCCATGATGAGGTTCACGGGTACTTGGGTCAGGTTGCACGTAATGTCCATCCAAATGTAGCAGATCACCGTGAAGAACGTCGTCCACTTGCGGTCGATGAGGTCCTCGGTCTTGTCGGCGACGTACTTGTTGATCATAGTCGTGTTGGTGTCGCCAAGCGCCTCGCCAATGTCGACCGCGCTCGTGATCGCGCCCCAGAAGAGGTACGGGCGGCGGCGACCGTACTTGGACGTGCACGCATCCGAGAGGACGCCGATCGTCGGCGCCACGAGGAGACCAGACGTGGGGCCGACGAGCTGGACGACCTGGACCCACGACGACGTCAGGAGGATCTGGAGCACGGGGCCGAGGGCGGCCCACTGTGCAGCCCAGGCCATGTTCATGGCCATCT